CAGCCTTACTACTGTTAATTTGATATTACAAAAATTTTACGGACAACTATATAAACTAGTAGAGATAATACCTGCTAGACATCTGGTACTTGCAATCGTGTAATATGAAACATAATCGTATTCTTAGTTTTAGATATACCACAAAAAAGAACAGTTCTCTAATGCTAATGTTTTCAGTGGTGTTACAAGCAGCTTTCTGATAAGAATTTCGACTACTGTCACAAAATATTGTTTGAATGGGTGGTACGACAACGATCCAAAACAGTATTGTTTATAGATGTTGTACAACTAAAACAAATAGTTGTTTAAGATAAGACCAAAATAATAGTCTGAACATTATGCATACAACCCAACGTAATAGTTGTTTGAAGGAAATACTTATAGTGGTCTTCCGAGCAGCTGTCTGGTAGCAGATTCAACTACTGTTTGGAAGTATAGTGTCAATGTTTAAAGCACAACGAACATAAACTGGAGTGTTAATAGACGGAATACAACCAAAAAAAAAGTTGTTTAAGGTAAGACCAAAGAAATAGTCTCAACGTTGTACATACAACAGAAGGTAGCAGAGGTTTGATGGAATTACTTATAGTAGTCTTCCAAGCAGCTGTCTAATAGAACATTAGACTACACCTGGAAAACATAGTGTAACCGCATCAATCTCAGCTACAATAAACCATTGTCGTAATAGTCTATATACAACTAATTAAGACAGTTGTTTTTAAGTAGTTGTCTGAACTTCTATATACAACACAATAAAACTATTGTCTGAGTATATCCAAAATCGTAGACTCAATCGCGAGCAGACAACAAATGTTCAAAGTTGTGTTAAGCTTCAAAACACCGTTGTCAGATTTTGATTTGCACAATTGTTCTAAACCGAGGTCTAACATCCCATCAGACAGCTGCTCGGAAGACTACTGAAAACATCAATTATAGACTACTAAAATAAATAGTTGTCAGCCTCTGTTTTTGACGTAGTGATATATTTAAATATATAATCCTCAAAAGTTATGGTAGCAATCTGGTTCAACTTATAAACCTACCAAATATATGAATTTACTCGTATAATATAAACCAAGAAAAAATATATATATTACTTCCAATATACTGAGTAGCAAAAATTCATCTTCAAAACTTGATACAAAAATTAAAGTGACAATATAGCATTGTATTGTATCCCGACAAAATAAACCCAATATAAATCTAGGAATGGTCAAGAGCATCATGAGAGATTAAGGCCAAGTAAAGCATCTTTTACATCCAATTTCAATTCAAAAGTATCGTTGACAATAACCTTAGGTAAATACATATAGTCTTTTGTTCGGCAATCACTTGTTCTAAGATTTTGCTAGGATTGCCAATATGCTCATGAGTGTTTCTACACTCTTCAGCAGGAAACAACCATAGTACTTGTATGAAATTGTTGGAAATTCAAACAAAGAAGTAAGTGAAGATCACAATTATAGTTCAAATGAAACTTTTTATTGATTTATCCAAGCAAACCTGCAAAAAATATCTCATGTAAGTGAAGAAGATTTACATTCCACTCAAATTTATCAATGTGAAGATGATTTAATGTTTAAGAGCAAACCTTCAAAATAACTCAATTATCAAAACCAAACAACAAAAAGATAATTCCAAAAACCTTAAATATAAAATGGTGAAGAAAAAATCATATAGCTATTGTTCTATGATCACGGAGAAGAGAGTTCTCAAAAAGAGAACTCACAAATCAAAGGTCCAACATCAATGTATCATTTGCAAACAAAATATATCCTTTAATGAAGACTTACATAGTTTGTACAGTTCTCAATTTTGCAGATTTTGGCATAGGTCCAACGAAATGATTATGGCTTAAATTTAGAGCACAATGAAGTCAAAAGTAATGTCATCAAGACCGAATTTCTTGAGAGGAGATTTAGAGCACAATGCGCAACTTGGGATGGATAAAAAAGGAAATCATATTCTAACTCGTATAGCTCTTGTGCTCTGCATTCCTCATTGAAAAAAATACGAAGAAACACATTCGAGGTGGAATGGTGAATCATGAATTGAACAACGCAAAAATAATATGATCTTTAACACAATCGAAATCAAAATTATATAATAAAACACAACATGAATCAAGAACAGATAAATGAAGAGAAAATGAAATCTTTAATATAATTATAACCTAAATGTGTTAGTATTTATAAATTTAAGACACTATAAATTGAATCTTTAACACAATTAAAACCAAAATGTAAGAATCATTACCTCGCTGCCACTTTGAAAAGAAGACCCGTAGCCTTGATCGGCACCGTCCATATTGAAAGAAGCAAAAGAAGATCTACTGATGGTGTTGCTGGCCTAGATTGGTCAGTCAAACCATCGTCTTTGCCTGTGCGAAATATAATCACAGTCCCCTGGCTCTCCATGTTCGAAAAAAGATAGCCCGATCAATGCTTAACACAATAAAAATATACTATTGGGTGGATTAAAGTTTAGGCTTAACATTCCGATTCTTAATTAATACGTAGTGTAATAAATATGGGCAGCTTGCTGGTTCTGAGTGGGTTAGCACCAGTAGCTTTAGAGTGCATGATCGATGCCCTAAGTTCAATAACAAAAGAGGCGTCAACAATGGATACTGAATCTGTACCAAGACTTGCTTTTTCCAATTAGAAAAATAAATACTGATATGAAGTCAAAGAAATCATTTCAAACAACAAAGTGAAAAATACATGTGGTGGATATGTACAATAGCTCTAACCCTTTGTGTCGTCTGTGTGCATTGTCTGCATTATTCTTTTTTCAAATGATACATATACTGGCTTCACATTTCAGGTAATAGACACCTTATGATCCTACATTGAAAGATAAAATGTTTAGAGAGTATAGTACACATGACTATACAATATAATAGTCTAAAGTCTTAACCCAAGCAATAATTGCAGAAAATTATACTCACAAAAGTGGAAGCGGGAGAGAAAAGGCAAGAGAGACAGGTGTGATGAAACCAATTACACTTACAGAAGTGGATTCCGGAGAGAAAAGGCAAGAGAGATAGGTGTGATGAAACCAATTACTCTCTCCTTTTTATCTCTCTCAAATTTTGAACAACTTTTCACTAATAAAAGAGTTCGTTAGTCCACAACTCTCAAGCCACAAACGTGTATTGTTCAATATGATTCCCACTTGTGGTTGTGTTTAGTGTTTTATCACTATACATAACATCATAAAATACTATTAAAAATAAATCATACAACTCAACAGGTTTTAGATTTGTAGAATAATCCCTATCATGACACCAACATATTCCTTTGTCACTAATGGTGGTATGAACAACAGCTTAAGAAGAATACTGATTATGCCTTACAAAATGAATGGAAAGGTACCTCTTTATGTGTCCTTTTTCTTTGGGGTGGATCGAATAGGCTCTTCGTAAAACATTTATCAGTAAAGCTTTCTAGAGAACGTGAGAATGACTCGTTGTTGTTTTGATGATGATATTGAATTGATAATTGCCCATTTTTCTCCTTTTCATGTCACCCCCATAAAGGCTACATCGATCTGGGAAAGAACACCGAATTATAGTACTTGTCAGTAGTATCGTTTTAGTATTTCAAAAAGAAAAAAAAAGCTTGAAGCCTATTGATATCATAGATTTTGAGGTTAAGGATCATAGGGCTTTTCACAGCAACTTAAAGCTGAATATTTACGGAGTATAACAATTCTAAGACTTATCTACTATGATATTTTCAAACTCTAGGCATCTAATATATTCAAAAATCATATGCATTCAATGAATGGCAGAAATATTTGCACCTAAAATCTGCATTTCTACTTGAACGTTATCAAATCATGTATATAAATCATATTCAAACATCACAAAAGAGTAAAATTAAATATGAAAAAAGGAATTCTTATTCATAGGTTGCTTGAGAAGTCTAGATTATAAAATGAATTTAAGAGCAGAAAAAATACCACTTTAATATGGAAGCACCGTTGTTGTATTAGTGTGATGTCATCGACCTATGGCAAGAATTAAAACCAAAGACATTCTCCCTACAACGAAGAAAAGAGGAAGAGCACGGAATATCCTCCCATACATATAAAGAAGATTCAATAGAAAACGTTGTTTTTGCGTTATCCAGCAATCGTGAGTCTGCTTATGCGAGTGATAGTGGGTTGACGGTTGATATAGCATTTGAGTGACAATTTCAAGAGTAACGATTTACATAAAAAACCTTGCATTCTCCTCAGTGTTGGAACAACACAGCAATATGTGTAAAATCATAAGTAGGATGCTCCATCGTTTGTACATCGGTAGTCTGACAACTTAACCTAATCGGCTCTGCTCCTATGTAGATCTCAGTTGTTCTCAAGATGGCTTATTTTGAGGTTGCAAGAAACAGTTGAGCAATGAGGATAAAAATTGGTCAAGTAAAGATTTAACCATATACTCCGCAGAAGAGAAGAAGAATGAATTACGGTGTTGTTTTGATTGGGTGAGAGCAGTTCCAGCTTTTTTCCTACTTGCTGTTTTAAATAGGAGGATTAGAGTGTTTGTCAGTCTCACTGCTGCACTTTTATTCAAAAAAAAGCAATCATAACGATAGACCGAATTAAATGGGGGATATCATCCATATGCATTTGATGAACGTTTCTGGTATGATAGAATTGATATATCTGTTTTA